ACGTAGATTTAAAACAAGCTAGAAAATGAAAAAGGTGGCTGAAAGAATTTTGAAAAGTTCTTTAAAACCTGGTGCTACTTCACTGTACCAGAATTTTTCAATAGTAGATAAAGGGAAGAAATTATCCCATTCCTAACTTCTCCTATCCAGGTTCAAGCCCAAATTTTTAATTTTAAAACGGTGCAGGAAATTGATGACTAGAAATGTCTCTTTTATAATGAAAATAAGAGAGAATGCAGTGCAGGCATTCTCTTTCACATATCCCTGGACACTATCTCTTCAAGAATCCATCAGTATGTTTAAGATAAAATTAGAATACTTTCTAAAAATATAATGCCAAGAGTGAAGATGTTATGGGGCACTTATTTTAAGTCTGGTGCATGCCAAGAAAAGCATCCATAAGACTATTATTCTTCAGTAGCATTATGTAAGACATAACAAAAATATAGAAAATCAGAGAAGCATAAGATGAGGCAAGTACTGCTGAGGAATTGATATGTTGAATACCATTCCTATGTTGGGAAAGTATTTCAATAGATAGGGAGCATAAATACTGTTTTTTTCCCTGTATCAAATATAGCATTTATGCTCCCTACTTATCATGGATATCTACTGTATTTTTTTTAGAAAAGTATTTTTTTCCCAGAAATACCAGGTTGGTGTGTGCATCACTAAAAATTCAAAACCTGTTTGTCTCATATACAGAGATTGTTCCGTAAAGCTTTTGATAGACTCAAAGCTTTTGCCACGTAAAGGGCTTAAAACAGTTTTTGATTAAGGAGTAATGGCTGAACAGACATCTGCAACACCTGTTGTATACCAATATCAATTGAATCACAAACTACAACTTCCTTGAGAATATCAATATATTTATACATTCGTAATGTAAATTACCATTTTTTTGAGAATGACAAATTAATGCAAAAAAGAAGAAATTTAAACTTGATATTGGAAAGCACGCAGAGACTAGAATTCTCTAGGTTTTACTTTTGTAATTTCCAACATACTAAGAAGCTGAAAGTGGTTCATTTTAAACAAAAATTAATAGTAATCCATAATGATGCACTGCTGGTTACTTGTCACTATTGTATGGAAATATATATCTTGAGTATTTAATTTTAATTTGATGTTTATAATTTTTGAAGGATTTGAATGTTTCTGCATTGACAGAAACATTCCAGCAAATATGTGAGAAGGCAAATTAAGAGATTATAGTGAGAATGATTCAAAATAACTGTACTCAAAATATATGTTAAAGGATATTTCCTCACCCACATCTTCAGTGCAGAAAAATGTCAGCATCTGTGAGAAAAATTATAATGTGTGATAGATGTCTTAAGAGACTGGGAATCTGCTATTAGTCAAATTAGCCACAGAAAATTATTTTCTAATTGTACTCAAAGCAAAGGCTTCTAAAAGAAATGTTCAGCCTGGAAATCTACAGCAGCATGAAATTAGCCAGGTAGAAGTATGAACTGGTAACTCACTCATAGAGCTCATCTTTTTACAAATCCAGTGCATCTCTATTAAAATAAAGCTCCTGCTGATTAAAAAAAAAGTGAAGAAAGTAGAATGGATAAAAGAGTGGCTGTACTGTAATACTGAATTCTGACATGCATGGAATCTTGACAAGTATGTCTGATCTCTATAGTTTACAATGATTACTTTTCAATTGCAGTATGCTGAACTTTAATACTTGTGGAAATTTATTTGTTAGTTCTGCTAAACTATTCCTTCAAGTTTTTACTTGAACCATTTATTCTAATTAAAGATTTCTTTTACAAGAATTATCACATGATCATAGTAAAACTTAATAAATTAATTTTTACACAAAGCTTAGTAAAAAGAGAAAGAAAAAAGAGAAAGAAAAAGTATAGTGTGTGCTTCCTTTAAGAAAATTTTGTGCCTTTTTTCTTAAAATGGGGAAGTGGGGCGAGAAGAGAATAAAGCTAAAAGTAAACAAACATTTTAAATCATGTTTATAATATTGATAATGACATATATTACTATTTAAATTAACACGTTTATCAATACACAAAGCATGTACTTCTAGTATATTTAAGCCATAGTTTCCACTTTCCATAATATACAGATCTTCATTTAAAAGGGCAGGGAAGTAATTCTATAATTCTTCATGGCATGCTCCAAAATAAACACCACTTTGTAGTCATGGTATTTGTAGCAATGCCTTTGCTACAAATTGCGACTTCAAAGATGGTAAAGAAAATCCTATGTATTATTAAATTCCAAATGTGATCCCAAGTAAAAATGGTAGCCTATATCTATGGAGTTGTACAGACCAGGATACATGTGGCTCAGCATCAGTGAGTCCTATGTTTGGTGTTGAGAAGAAGCTCAAATGCACTGGCTCTCTTCACATCTTTTCAGATGGTCTTTATTTTTCTCAGATATTATTCAGAATCCCTGGCTCAAAGTTGTTATTAGAAATGTTGACCATATGGGAAAACTGAATGGAGTGTGTTTCTCTTCGTGTATCCTTTTTATGAGTAAATCATTGCAAAAAAACCTTTCAATTTGCCAGACCAGAATTTTCTCCTAAAGAATTACCTTTTCCTTTATAAATGAATCACACAAATCAATAAAGGTGAATTCAATTGTTCTCCAGAAGCAAGCAGTTACTATGATTCTTACTATTTCACACAACTTGCAACCTCCCTTAATTTTTTAAACTGTTCAGCATAATGTTTCCTTTATTCTAGTTATCCTCATTTCAGATTTAGAACTATCAATTTTTTTTTTGATTATTGTAATTAACTCCTCCTGAATATGCCTGTTAGGGTATAACATCTGCCTATTGTGTCTATTCTACGAATTGCCAATTTTGAGATCACCCTTCTGAAACAGCTACTTATATCTCAAACTTAAGTGCGATCATTTATAGTTTTTAATATAATTTGAAACATTCAGGGCCCCTTTTAATGTTTTGCTTCCTATCTCTAACATCATTGCCAGAGAATTATTTAGAATGAGTCTTTTCTTGACTAGTATTGGATGATGGTAAACTGGATTACATTTGAATTTGAATCTAAAATCTTGGATTCTAGAGAAAGGTTTTATGCAATATATGAGTTTAATTTGGTACTAACAGTTTTCTAAAGTAGAAATAGAAATAACAATTTTCCAAATCATAAACCTGTCACTTTTATACCACGTTCTGTGCAAAGATTTCTTTCATGAACAGCGGCCTATCAAAATGAGACTTCAAGCAGTCAGCAGAACTTTTCATGTAATGAATACCTGTGCTTTCTTACTGTTCTGAATAAATTACTCAAGATACCAGTCTGAAGAGTATAGATAATCACTTGATATTGGTAATATCACACTCCATTTGTGAGTTTCTCCAGAGGCCTAGAGCTGCACATAGCTGGAAGCAAAGTATTACACTATGTAAGTCATATATGATCTAGCAATAGTATTATTTGAAGAGTTGGATTTCAATAATAATTTAATTAGAACACTTGTGGTAGCAAGATATTTTTAAACAGGTCTAAATGGTGGTTACTAATTTTCCAGAGATTCATACAAAGTAGGTCTCTGAGATGTTTTTTAGGCTTTAAACTCTAAATAAGTAAATGGATCTTGACACTTAGGCTATAAACATTAAAAGCATCAACAGTTCTCAAATTTTGCCCTAGCTTCCCCACAACTCAATATTATAAAATAATGATACCATGGCAACCAAGAATAGTTTGAAAACATATTCATAAATGAGCTTGATATGCAAACAGAAACTCCAAGCTCATAATATTAGGTTTTGATGTGGTTATCGAAGCTGAATACATTTCCTATTCCTAACATAAACCAAACGTTGCAGTTACTGCAATATATCAAAAGAGTTAACCACGGCAAATTTTATTTTCACACATTTGATCAACCTTTCTGCTCATTTTTTAAATTCTCTCTATTGCTTCTACATGTTGCATGTTTTCTTTTTCAGATCAAGAACAATTAAAATATTCTAGTTAAAGAGAATAACTCATGGGTGATTCCTCTGGAATTTCAGTATTCAACTGGCACTAATTGAAGTTGTTGAGATACCCAAATTATTTTCAGTGACAGCAAGATCCCAGGCATTTTCCAGCCAAACCTCAAAAAGAGCCTGGTAATTCAGTTTGTGCTAAATAGTCTTTATTAAAAACTATCTTGTCTTAAGTGTATATGTGTTTGTGTGTGAAAAAATTGCAAAAAGAAGAGGCAGAAAGGCACGTTTGCAAAATCAATTGTGCAGTTTTTATTTTACTGCACTTTTATCACATATGTCATTTATTACACAGTGGAAAACCGTTAAATGCACAGTAGTTGTGCCAAGTGGCATTATGCTTTTAACAGCTTTATTCGTTTAACAGTTCCAGCTCTCATTATATTTTGCCATGTGGTACGTGAGATTTTTATTCTTTTAACAGTGTATAAAAGGGGTCCATGGCATTTTCCTTTTATGTATTTCATATTGCACTCATTTTTTTTTCTTTTCTGTGAATATTAAGCCTTAGGCAAAACTAAAAGCAAGGGGTGTATCAGAAAACATGAACTGTTAGAAGAAAAAGAACATAAGAAAGGTCCTGATATATTTTATAATCAAACCAACATTATTAATGTGTAGATTCACAATATTTCTGTTAAAATCAGTATGTGACCCTCACTTTCTATGTTTTATTATTGCTCCATTTCATCTTTTTACTGAAAGAAAAAACACTGAAAACCAAGAAATAGTGATTATAACTCTTTAAGGTCTCTATCAAACATATAAAAACACCATTATTCAGAAGTCCTCATTTTATAGTTTTGGATTTATTTATTTTTTTACTTTTTTAAACAGGATCCATGTGTTTTAGCTATTCAGTCTATTTAAATCCATAGAAAGAAATTATTCTGGAACAAAGCACAAATAAGAAAAGATTGTATAGGTATATTTTTATCTATAGAAGGAATGTGTCGACCTCAAAGTTATTCCTGCTCTTAAAAGAGAATCCCCTACTCACCTGACTTTTGTTGGCAGCTACTTTGGCGAACAGAGCCTGAGACACTTTGGCCCTTTTCATCTCCTGTTGGATCTCGTCATAAATGGCAGCTGTGATGTTGATGTTGGCTCCATCCACCTTAATGGGGAGGTCTGTTGTCGGTGTTGAGGTTTTGGCCTATTGAGAGACCATGAAAATAATAATTAAAATAGTGCTGCTTTCAGCCCAGCCATCTGTGCAGAAATTATCAAAGGATTTCAGTCAGCTGATGCCAAACTGCATTAGCTACAGAGGGACACTTCCTGTCCATTATTCTAATCAGGTTAATTGTGATTGGAAATAATTGCAGGGCATTCCTATAGGACATACAAAGCATGTGTATGCACTGTCTTTCACTCTCTTTTTCTACAAACATACACACAGTATTCTTCAGTTGCTCTGACTTTCAAAACACACAAAAATATATACTAGAAAATTAAAAGATTATGAATCGGATGAAGTAATGTTTAAACAATTATTTTATTCAGCTAGTCCTCAAATACAATATATTATTTATATGAATATTTGAATTTTTGCTTCCCCCCAAATCATACTTTAGAGGAAGAGTCAATTCTTCCAGAAAAAATGAGTAAATGCATAGAGGTCTTTACATAATAAATTATTACTCAATTTAATGTACTCCCACAAGTCTCTTTCATTCTTTATTAAAATTATATGTATGTCATTTGAGTATCTACCGTTTCCCATCATTATGCTGGCCAGAGAGTCACCTAATTTCACCTAGGAAATCAGTGGGTATGAAAAAAAGATTAATAACTCTATGCCTGCCAGTGTGCTTAATATGCTGCCATTTACTTCATAAACCCACATTGGAGCTGGGTACATTCCATTACATTCCTTTTAAATAAATGATTTCCTATCGATTTCTATGACAATTGAAGGACACTAATGAGAGAATGTTTCCTTCACAGATAAATCTACTAAAAGAATTGACATGGGATTTTACTGAACAAAAATCTAGAAATCTACGGCATTTTACAGTGGCTACTACTTTTACTAGTAAAAGTCAAATCAGTTATTGCAAGAATTAATAAATCATGCTGAACAATCATTTCAATCAAGGACAGTTTTAAGAAACATGCAGACATAACGTAATGACCAAGGACTCTACTTAAACTAGACTAGTAGTCTTCCAAAATCCCTTCCAACTCTGTTATTCTGTTGAGCAAAGTTTTAGGATATTAAAATACATGTTAAAGCAAAAAGTTAGAAAAGGATAAAAAAGACTGAAAAAAGTAATAGCATTTCCTTCATGCTGATTCATTAGAACAGCATACAGAGTAAGCATTTTATATTGGTTGAAAGTTTAACAGGGCTAAATATTTTATCATCTTTTACAAAAAAAGAGATGTCTTAACAAGGTATTATAAAAAAGGAAGTGTGAGGTTTTGTCTTGTATTTGAGAACCAGGTTTATGGCCCATTTGCCTTGTATTTGACAAACCCAGATTTAAAAGTTGCTGTAATATAAATATCTCAGGAATATATTCAGTATATTAAAAAAAAATATAGGATTGGAACCATTTTGAAATATGTTTACCTATGTTCTCTGATCAATTTGGAGAAGCTCTGAATTATTCCACCATGATTTGTGCCCTGAAGAAGCAGAATCTTCTTTATTATGGCACCAAAATTACAAAACTAAAGGGAAGATTACCAGGTTCTAGTTTCAATATAAAAAAATTATTTTAACCAAATTTGTGATTATAAATTGCATTATTAGAAGGGCTTGAAAATTCACTTTTTTCTAGTGTGTTAACAAGATTGTTTAAAAGTTGATGCTTTGTATTTTTATAATTATTACTTTATTTCAATGAAGTTTTATTTTTTCAAATAGACAAAATGGAGCAAACATGAAAGAATGGAGTATATAAAATACTTTGCTAAAATCAGCCTGATATCTGGTGTTTTTTTCTTTCAAATAGACAAAATGGAGCAAACATGAAAGAATGGAGTATATAAATACATTTTGTTAAAATCAGCCTGATATCTGGTTGTTGTTGTTGTTTCTAATATCCCTTGACTTTTACCAAAGAACAAATTAAGCAGCAGAAGCCCATATTTAAATATTGCCATATTTATCTCAAAACATTTGGACTCTTTTTTTTTCTGATCAGTTTCGCATTGATTATCTACTATCAAATACACATTCCAAAACAGAACTTGATCAGCTTGAAAGCTACAAACGGAAAATTACAATTTTAAAAAGCAATGTAATAAGGAGGAGAAAATGAACATTTACTATATTTCTTGATACTCTGAGATTATCTACTATACTGCAAAATTGTATCACAGATTGGTATCTATGGAAACAGTATTTTTTATATAGGATTAACTTTGGCATCGGGGGAAAAAATTGTCTTTCATTTCAAATATGTTTTCTCCTGTCTGCCTATCATGGCTATTTCTTAAAGCATTCTTCTAGCATTAAATTATTCTTCTCAATACTATGATTTAGGCAAAAATAAATCATATATGCATTGTAAAATAAGTTAACATATAGAAATTATTCCCTGCTTCAGCAGCAGAAGGTAGTTTATACCACTGCAGATTTTGTTTTTTCTAAAAGAAAGCTATTCCATTCTCTAGATAATTTACCGTGCTCACTTCTCTATCTTGGATGTAATTCCTTGCCAGTGTTCAAATGAACTGGCATAAATGCTATAGTTATCTTCTTGGACTCTTACCAGGGTGACCAAATGAGTTTTCATTTACAGGCATCTTATGTTTTCCATAGGGAGGCCAACCAAATATCAAATATTACAAGGCTCCCAGAGTTATTGTTAGCTGCCCGGAGGCACTTATAAATTCTTTCAATCAACATTTGTTATTTTTCCAACACAAAGAAAAGCCCCTCTTAAGTTATATTTTACCTTTGCTGTTAATTTTGTTCCTCTTCTATTTTTAGTAATGTTATACTTTTTTCTGTTAAATATTGTAACTTTTACCTATATCTTGCTCTAGAAATTATTACCCTAAGGCTGAGGCATAAAAAAGAGAAGGAAAAGTCATCATCGCCATCAAAATCTAAGAGTAAAGCCTTGTGATTATAATCAAATGTTCTTAAAGACAGAAAAGAAACAAAGAACACTGATAATTGGAGAGTAAGTACATGGAGTGAAGCAAAACAGTCATAAATACCAATTTTCACTTATTGCATATATTCAGTTTCACCAAAGGAGTTAGATATGTACACCCAGCCTTGCCCATTTTGATAACCTCCCAAATTCTAAGTAAACATAAAGTGATCTCTAGAAATATCACCAAAAATTAGTATAACAATATCCTCAATAAAATGAGAGTGAGAGTTTTTCCTGAACTTGTTTTTCCTACTGAATTTATAATTCAATTTTTTCTCTGACTCTTATCTCTTCTCCACTTTAAAAATGAGTAGAAAACTATGTATTAGATAAAACGTATCTCAATACATAATATGCTTGAGAAGTTTGTGCATTGTTTAAGTAAAAAGTACTTGAAAAAACATGTAAAATGCATACAAAATGTTTATATTTAGAGAAATATGTAGAAATATTTGTACATATTTAATCTTTTAAATTTTAATCTTTTTACAATATTATACATAAATTAAATGGTAATACAACTATATAATGTATAGAGTATATAAAATACAATATACTGTACTTTGAAAAAGGAGTTTATTTTATTTTTTAAAAACCTATATAGAATGGGAAAAACAGCAAAGACAAAAAGAAGAATATATATTATAATATTATATAAAATTATATAAAATATATAATATTATATAATATTATATAAAATTATATTATGCCAAATAAGGGGAGATAAAGAAAAAGAAGAAAAGGAAAATCTTTAGAAAGCAACCTTTTACAAAACTAAAAACTCAAAAAAAATGCATATGTAAATTACACATACCCTGTTTAAAGAAGATAACAGAAGAATGATATGGAATGGAATAGTTTAAATAGAATAGAATAGATCTAGCTATAAAATCATTTAGCTTTTTCCAACTTCAGCATTATGATCCAACTTTTTAAAAATATGATTTTTTAAAAATTTGCTAGAGTAAAATGTTATAGGTTTGCTAATCCATACAATGATCTCCTGTCCTTCAAGCATTTATGTTCTGTCAGCCATTTCATACCAGCTGAGTGCTCCCTGTCTTCTCTAACACAATAGATACTGTGTCTAAAGTTTGATTCAGACATTAATTTTCAGTGGTTCCTTTCTCCAACAATTGTGGGAGGAAACACAACATTAACCATCCTATCATGCTCTCTGCTAGTAGAGATTCTGTTTCATACTTTTGGCAACAACTATTAGCAGTTTAATTAGCAGTTAACCACACTCAACAGGCATGTGTGCCTTGCTGGACAGGTTCACTTAAACTTTCATGACTCAAAACCATTTGGAAGGTTAAAGATTAGCACTTACATTTTGAATTGTATCCTGAAACCAACTACAGACCTCTAAAATATTTTTAATGAAATCCCTTAAATACATCCAAGTACTTATTTTGAAAGGTTTTATTCTATTAGTTAGTTGCAATCAACCTAACAACCTTTTAATTTTATTTCAGCACTTCTGGATGCACCCTGGAGGTCAATTTGCCAACCAGAAGATGAGGTACTAAAGCAACTGAAAACAACCATAGGATAAAATTAAAGGAACAACCTCTAACTAAAATTATGAAAAAGTTCAAGCACACGTTGAGAATGAAGTGCGCAATTGGTCCTGAAAGGAAATAACATACCTAGCTCTGACCAAAGGTACACCATTGATTTGAGCAGATTCAGATCACAGCCAAGGTATGTAACCTCCCCTGTAGATATTTGAATTCTTTCATGTATTTAATTGAATGTTCATTCTTTATATTTGCAGCATTAATTTAAAAAATAGTATATCAGTTTCATCCCAGAAGTGTTATTAAAAGACCACATAATTTAAAACCCTAAGAATTTAAGAATGTCTTTTCTTTTCTTTTCTAATTAATATCAGTCCGGGAAAAACCTAACCAGCCATCTTATATGATGCCTGACTTTAGGTTTTCTTTATGAGGGGACAACACTGAAAGCAATTATAATAGGGTTGAACCTTACCTGGGGGGTTCTGGAGGAACTTGGACTGCTGGCAGCTGAAGACACCATGCTCACATTGGGGTTCATACTCCTCTCTCTCTCATCCTGATATATACGATCTCGCTCTGTCTCAGGTAGGTTGAGGAAATTCTGCATTGCCCTCAGATTTACCAGGAGGGATTGGGAAGCTGTTCTAGGGTCTTCTTCTTTACGCAGTATCTCTGATAGCAATCCCTGGTTCAAAAAATTAAAAAAAAGTCCAAGTCTTTTAAAAAAAATGTGTTAGTTATAATTGGCCAGGTTGCAGGGTTGAGACCTTTCATCAGATGTCAAAGCACATGGAATGTTTTCTAGAAACAAATCTTGTTTTCTAGGGACCATGGCTGATTTAAGAGCAATTATATTTAAATTCTACCTTTCACTTAAGAACAACCCAAATACAAATCTGCCAAAGAGGCAAGTGAGTAGTAAGACACCATTATAAAACTACAATTATAGCCAGGTGCCTAAAAACTATTAGAGCTCTCACTTTTTCTGCTTGAGGTTGCAAACACTTGGCAGTTCTGTTCAACTTCAGGAATCTGCCAAGTTTGGTAAATTTAGTTCAGACATTTAAACAGCTCAGGAGACTTACGAAGAAAAATGTTTGGCAAGGTTCGGATGTTACAGTTCATTCATTGCAAACTGTCAATTCTTTCTAATGGGAAAAATGCTGCAAATATGAGAAATCCTTAAGATAATTCATCTTTAAAATTAATTAATTTGGAAATTGCTGTCTTGTTTAAAAAGTCAGAAGGTGGCAATGGTCAGATTCATCAAATACATCTAGATTGTTTGAATCGTTTACATGAAAGAAGTCATCAGTTCAGTTGTACTATAGCCTGTATGAAGCTTTAGAAACCAAGTAAAGTCATAAAATATAAAAAGTTACAGAGCACATAGGACATAAAAAATACTGATTACTCTGATACTAAGACTTTAGTCTTTGAGTAACAGAATCTCTAATTGTTTGCTGTACTTTTGTGTTCCTTTGTCCTAGAGAATTCCAACTAAAATTTCCTCCTTATAGCAGATTCATAACTAGAAAATAACTCCTACTTGTGCTGCAAATAAATGGTACAACTGCTGCCTAAATGTTACGGTACTTTGTCCAGCCTCCTCCTCCTTCCTTCTATCTGCACTCTGCATAGAACTTCAACATATTGCCTACTCCTCTGAAATACCATTCTTAGAAGGGAAAATCATTTGCTGCATTGTTTCTAGGTAGGAAAGTTCAATACAGTTTATAGCGAATTAATGTGCCCCAAGTTTATTTCAATATATAAAATTTCCCTGGGTCAAGATATATGGGGGAAATGCTCACAATTACTGAATATGAGAAATTCATACATACATGAAAAAGTGAAACTGATACTCTGAAGAAGCAGACTAGAATCACAAAGAGAAGACTACTAAAAAAAATTTGTTGGACCAATCAGTCTCCTTCAGCCTAATCAACTTTCCAGGATTGTGATTGAGAGGAAAAATAGGAGGGAACAGTATGTATGCCGCCTTGAGCTTCTGTATAAAAGAAGGGATATAATTCTTAACAAATATGCTAAGATATATAGCAAATCAATGCAAAATATGAAATAATTATTCCAGGCACAGGTGTTTATTATATATTAAAAATATTTCCTCAAATCAGTTACATGCTTTTGCTTTTTTATTCATGAATAAAATGTATCTGACTACTGATTAATCTTCTAAATCTGCATACAATTAGATGCATAAAAAAGACAATATTTTAAAGTATAACCAAGCATAAGTGTAGTAGGCATATTGTCTTGGAAAGGACAAACCTGAAAAGGGGGCAAATCTGAGAAGTTCATAAGGATAAGCCTTCAGGAAGTCTGGGAATCCTCTGGTAATAGGGAGCTTCTACATTGGTTGTTTTATGGGTAATAGCTACCCTCTTGTAGTCTTGTTTTATGTATTCTTATTGTTTTTAATGGGTTTGTAAAATGTTTTAATTCCTTGTTTATATGCATTGGGAGCATCCTGGAGTCTGCTTCATGTGAGAAGGGTAGCTATATGAATTTGACAAAAATAAATACATTTGTTTATGCTCTACAAAGGAGAATGTAAATCCAAGATCAATAAAACAAATAATTAAATTTAATAACAGCTTTCTGAAACAAAGGTCTGTCCTTTATAGTAAAGAACATATGGGCACTGTAAGTATAAGGTTCAAAAATGCAGTGACTTGACAATATCCCTCTTTTGTAGTTTGAATTTTTTTAAAGTAAAAAATAATAGTCAATTAATTGACCACTACCTTAGACTTTTCACTTTGGCTGGAATTAGCACACATCCTACTATGCGGGCTGTAGGCAAACATTTTAATCTCCTGCAAAACTATTGTTATGTGTTTCTGCTAAGAGGTAAAGACAGTAATCTGTGTATTGTAACACTGCCCATGATATCACCTAAGGCATCTGGCATCCATAAATCCAAAGTTTACTTTACAATCTTCCTACTGCAAGACCTAACTTGGATAACCACTACAAAGATCACCAAGTTTCTTATAATAGTTATGGCCTGAAAAAGTTGGATGATATTCTTTTCTTGTTATTGCTTCAGAAAACTGTGTTTTCCCTTTTTATGTTTTATGTTTTGTGTTTTTGAAAAGGGGTTCATCCTAATGTTTTTGTGTAAGTGCAAGGTTCACTTTTTTCAAATCAACCAAATGTTGATCCATTGGTTATGAGAGGGATTGACTAAGCAGTTTGTCATCGGAACCTGATGACATGGGCTGAGAGAATGACTAGCCCAAAGTCACCCCATTGGCTTTCATGCCAAAGGAGAGACTAAAAATCAAAGTCTCCTGGTTTCTAGCCTGATACCTTAACTACCAGATACCTTAACTATTACTCTCAATTGTGCTTTTTTGGTCTGAGAACATAAATAAATCTACACCTGTTAACCTAATAACTATTTAATACAATTGTATATATTGTAGCTTTATTTTATAATATTTATTGAGCTTTGGATGAACTTTTAAACACAAAGAATAGCTTTTTAAACAATTGATTTTGCTTTTTCAGATACTCATCACTTGAAATGGGTGGCAAACAACATTAATAAATAATAAATAAATATTTATTTTTAGTAAAACAATAGGACTAGATACTATTTTTTCATGCTTAAAAAGCAAAGTAATTGCTTAATTAAGCAGTTGCATATAGATTAACATAAAACCTGCATGTTCAAAACAGATAATTCAGATATACTTGGAAAGTATGATCACATCATTTTCCTGTGTTAAAAGACTCTCAAAAAGTGTGCTAGTTTCTTACATATGAACAAGTTTGAAAATTATTAATAACAAGAACACAAAAGCTTTACTGGTTGGGCTATGACTGGACCTACTCCAGTGCCTTATTTCTTACTAATCAGAAACTTTGGCAATGAACAAGCAAAATAACATAAGGTAGTAGCCCCTTATTACTGTTGTTACCCAGCAACTACCATTTCTCGAATATTAAAAAAATCATTAATCAGATTTCTTTGACCACTTTCAGTTGTTGTGAGTTGAATGACAATGTACAATACAGATTATAACTATTTCATTTCATTTTGGTCTAACATCCAGTAGTATGGAAGCCTACTGACTGGGTTAATTGTTAATGTTTCCTTTCAGTAAATAAACTTGTATAATAACAAACAGAAATCCTGTAGAGATCATTGTGTTGACTGTATTTACCATTATCTTCTAATCTTTGACTTATGATCAAAATTGAGAATTTCCATTGCTAAGCAATACAGTTGTAAAACACAACAGCATGCGATTGCATCATTTACTGATGGCAATACCAGAACTCCCCACTGCCCTATTAACCTAACTGCCAATAACAATTCATTAAGCAAGTAACCTTTCCAAGTCAAGCTACCCGGTCTTGGTCTCTCCCAGTCCCAAGCCTTAGTAAGGTAAGAGACTGCTTCCAACTTCCCCTACTCACAGCACAAAGAGGATTTTGGCACTGAGGCTTAGGAGCTGGTTTTCATCTTTTTTTTTTCAGCAGAAAGGGGTTTTTGGTGCTGTGGCTCTAGATGACTTTTGGGAGGGGAGGCAGTGGAGTATGAAGCTCAGCCCCAGCATACCCTATGGAGGATCCAGGAGTATAGAACCACTTTCCTTATGAAGTATTAAGTGAAGCCGCAATATTGAAATACCAGTGGAAAACTAATGATGCTGGTCATAAACTTCTGAGAGCCAAATACTACTCTAAACCTATGGAAAACAATTCAGTCTTACCAGTAGGGTTATGTAAAACCTGACTTTCGAAGCAATCTGAGCAGAATGGTTATATGCACATACACTCCTCACTGTGTTAAGCTATCAAGAGAACAGCGCTTCAAATATCAGGTTCAGGGGTGTCCTATGCAACTCTTTATATTTAAAGAATACAAAAAGTGAGAAAAAAATTGCAGCACACCTCTGAAAATGGTAAAAAGTAGGTGGCAATGAAATGTGAAGAGTTTGTTCATGAGAAAATGCTTCAGGATGGAAATCTATTACAATACAGTTCTGAATAGACTGCTCTGACAGACTGTGCTGATAATAGATGACAGAGTGATAACAAAGTCAATAAAACAAAGTATCATGAGAGCCCTGGTTTATATTCATATCTGAGTTGGTATACACAAAAATGAATCAACAATCAGCATTATGAAATAAAAATAAAAATAAAGTGATACTAAATAATCTGTTCATCTTTTTCTCACCTGCAACAAATTAGGCTTTCAATATGCAAAGCATCTTCTTCAAGAAAAACAAATGATCATGATTTCATTTAATTGTAATTTAATGAGGCATGATTTATTCTTAAAGTGATATATACCAGGTGTATGGCAAAGAAACCAGTCCAGCCAGACTAACTGTAGCATTGGTGTTTTTAGGAAATGCCTGAAGTTAGCTAGAGATTTTGTTCATTTCTGTAATATTCTGCCAAAGGGTAGAAACAGAGAATGGAAACCCACATTTGCTTTAGAATCCCATTGGATATACACATATTTATCACATTTTTAAAAACTGGTTATCTATGATGATAATCTATGAATTTTAGAGCTCCAATTATGGATGCTGTAATCTATATCTAAGAGTACAGTATCATAATTCATGGAAGATAATCATTCACAACTGGGCATTAGTGCATAGCCTGAAATTCTGGGTTAGAAAAGACCTATACCTA